AACTGGTAAGTGAACCAGATCCCAGTTCCTGAGCTGAAAGTATTAGCTTGATCTAGGCATAACATAAGCTCAAAGACGTATCAATTTGACATAATCAATGAGAAGTACGCTCAAATAAGCATGCTTTGGGAACCAACCTTTCTTAAGTATCCCTTTTACTCTGTTCCTGTAATCTGTGTTGGACATGAGAACATAGTATGGACCAAATATAGGATAGATGGACATGGTGATGAAGGCAAATTGAGAGACGACTGAGATTCACGAATTTGTAAGTTGTTGTCTAAGGAAAGCTTTACCTGCATTCCCCACCCTGAGAAAAAAACATGCCGAAAAGATCATATATGGACAGAATAATCCAACAAACTCCACAATCATCTGAAGAACATTGGTCTTAGTATGAGAGAAGAAACTTACAAAATAAAGAATCCCAGAAGTTATTCTACGTTGACTCGCTAAGAACTGAGTCGACTGTGATGACTTCGCTTGCTCTCTGATGCTATGAACGAGGATAGAAACACAGACAATTGCAATAATCAAGTAAAAAGCAGAAGCCAGTGTCGTATACATAGAGACGAACTCGTTCTTGTCATCTTGGGGCGATACATCATATGCTCGGGAAGTATACATTTCTTTGGGAAATTCATATGTTATCATCTGAAAGAACTATTTCAACAAATGAAAAAGATCAATACCTCGAGACAGGTCTGCCGTGCTGCTTCTCCGCCGTCTTCCAAGTTGAAGCCATCGACCAACGAAACAACGACTTGACCAAGCAGCTGAGCGAAGAATATAATCAGAATTGGGTTTTTATGTTTCTTCATCCATGTATTTATTGCGAACGTTCGATTGATAGTAAGAAGGAGAGTGAAGGACTTGCTGACTGAAATGAATGACCGTCATGAATACTCTTCTCAGGTGAGTACTAGTCATCAATGTTACTTGGATACCCAGTTGATCCAAAGGTTCAATTCCAAAATCGGAGAGGAAGCCACTTACGTAACCAGATGCGCATGGGAACAGAAAAGACGGTGTTGTTCCCAGAGTAATATAGAGTTGAGTTAAGGCAGATCTTGAAAGACAATGATGAAAAATTGAAATTAAGAACTCACGTCAAGTCATGTCCATGAATCACGAAGCGGGTGAAGTTGTTCAGCTTGGTTGGAACAAAGATGAGAAGGGAGAACGAGAAGATGATGATGATGAACCCAAAAAGGGATAAACAGTACATGATTATCACATAGAGAGACATCTCAGGTACGTCAAATCAATCTACTTGTCAGTGGGGCAAGGAGAGCTGTCGAGAATGATTTGTCCGTTCATGTATAAACGAAAATAATTGTTTGTATTTGTCTGCAATATTCGAGTGTTGAAGCGTACTGCTACAT